CAAAGTCAGTTGGTGTCCCCATCAAACAGTTTTATGGGTTCTGAGATGCATTAAGAATGCTGCCATTCAGTGAAACTACAGTCAAAATTTTCGCAAAATTAGCCCTAAAAATAGAGCTAATAAGTAAATAAACGTTCACGAAGTCTGTCAACTTCAAGTAGAGCATACCTTAGTCTCCTCTCTTGAATCCCCAGATCATCGCAGGTAACGTCGTTACAGCATCTCAAGCCAAGAATCTCATTGATGCAGGTGCTGATGGCCTTCGGGTCGGGATGGGCAGTGGATCAATCTGCATCACTCAAGAGATCATGGCAGTGGGACGATCTCAGGCCACGGCTGTGTTTAAAGTCGCAGAGTACGCTCGTAGGTTTGGGATTCCTGTTATGGCTGATGGTGGGATTCGTTCTGTTGGTGACATCACTAAGGCGTTGAGTGCTGGGTCGTCTACCGTCATGATGGGCAGTCTTTTGGCGGGAACCTCTGAAGCGCCTGGTGAATATTATTTCTCTAATGGGACCAGGCTTAAGAAATATCGTGGTAAGTACGTGTTGACTCGTACATCTTACGGGGGGAGGGGAGGGTACTAAGAAATATCGTTGTGGTAAGTCCTTGTTGACATTTTACGGGGGGGGGGGGGGGGGGGGAGTGGACTTAAGAAATATGTCGACTTTTTTTCACACTAGTTTTAGCTAATTATCTCTTCTCATCATCTTAGTAGTCGTACTGAAACTAAGTTGTTGTTCTTCCAAGGTATGGGGTCTCTGGATGCCTTAGAATTCAAATCAAGTCAGAGTCGTTACTTCGTGGAGAGCAATCGAATGAAGGTTGCACAGGGCGTATCGGGTGCTGTAGTGGATAAGGGCAGCGTGCATCGATTCGTGCCTTACCTTGTATCAGGTCTTCAACATGGCTGTCAAGATATGGGAGCAAAGAGCTTGTCTATCATGCGATCCATGATGTACAGTGGTCAACTGAAGTTTGAGAAGCGAAGCAGTGCTGCGAAAAGCGAAGGATCGGTGCACAGCTTACACTCTTATGAAAAACGACTGTTCTAGACTTCCTCACTGGACACTACTCATAGTAACTTTACTTTACTTTTCGTATGACTGTGAAAAGCTCAGTGCCATATGCGTGACCGCGGTCGTAATGTTTTCTAGAATTTTGATTGGCTGAGTTTTTTCTCGCGCAATGTGATTGGCCTGGCAGTGCCGAGACCGTTTTCGCGCCGTGTTTCAGGTATTTGATTGGATGGTTGGCGTATGCCTTGCTGTGTCATGACAGCGAACTTTTCACAGTCATACGAAAATATCTGGGCGGAACCTAACCTAAGGCAAGTTGATAGTTTTCTCGCTGGAAAAGCAACAATGTGATGAAAGGAAATCGCTTGAGTTTCTTTTCGTGTGGAAATTTAACGGAGAAAAAACGTTTGGATTTACAATTCACTTTCTTTGAATAGTCTAGAGTAGTTTTCGTGTAATAAATGCGATATTTAGCACAGTATTATGCTGTAAGCGTCTACAAGCTTTATCAAAAAAATCATTTGGAAGTCAGTTTTTGGTTTCCCACTTATACGAAACCGCTCTATAAATTGGTTACATATTGATTAAATTTCGCGGTTAAAAGTGTTTCCAAAATGTGGAAACTGTAGTAGCTTGATTAAGGCTAGTTAGTCTGGAGTGATGATAGAGTGCGTGAAAACTGAGTGTGTTTTCGCGTGAAAACGTAGTTGTTTTTGACTTGATTGAAGAGTAAGGAATTGATGCGCGGATAATACTTTAAAATTAACGCATTTAAAATTGTTATTGTAAAACATTGAGTTGAATTAAGTGCGATTTGAGTGTGCAAACTTAATATATTATAAATCAATTACGCATATCTTTTAGAATCTTGGTGTATCACTTGTCACTTAACTGTATCCCCCCCTCCTATTTATTTTGATAACTTTTGGTGCCACGGGCAATTTTCTTTGCGCGAGTATTACCATCATAATAGTAAAGTGCACTCAACCTTTCTAGGTTGCTGTATGTTACTTACTGGATGTGCGCAGTTGTTGCAAGTCGGTGAATGAACTACTTCGACGATACGTCGGCCATCTTGGATTGCAAGGCATTATGGGGCGTCCAGGGGGCAAAAAAAGATTTGTTACAGTAATAACGTTGATTGATATTAACAGCTCACCACAAGAGAATACAACAAAAAATGAATTAAGACGCCACATCGATCACCTTTACCCATAAAAGAAAGACAAACACAAGAAAATCTATTCACCATTTTCCATACATCGGTTAACAAACCGCACAAAGCATTCAGTCGAGGTTGCAAGGTTCAAATTTGAGTAATCTTCTGAAAGTACCTTGGCGTTTAAGGTTTGAACAGTGAACCAATGTATGGAAAATGGTGAATATATTTTCCGTCTTTGTTTTGATTTGCTCCCCGGCAAGATGGCCGCAGTGTCGTTGGAGTAGTCCATTGGGATAGGTTATTGATGTTGCTTCTGCTGTCGTTATTGCTGTTGTTGTTGCTGCTGTTATTGCTGCTGTAGTTGCTTCCGTTGTATCAGTCAAAGCGATATACCCTGCAGATCTCCAAATACAAGATTCAAAACACGTTCCCTACTTATCATAAACTTCAACAGCCCTGAAGCTTAACCACTGTGCGAACTGAATTTATGTAAGCACTTTAAGCTAGGTATGGAATTCCATATTTTTAAAAATTGTTATGCCTGAGTTTCGATATGATAAATCCGGAAATTTATTGTATCAGTTGTATTACGCAGTAGGCGGTTCCCGACTCTCAACCCGTGTGCGCTTCCTTCAAAAAACCTGAAACGTTCGTGTTATATCAATCATTTAAAACGGCTTTCTAATTTATTTCACATCTGTGGACATTGTCGTAGAAGAGTTTCACAGTTAAAAAAAAAAACCGGTTTAGATTAAGAGAGAATTCTTTTCGTATTCAAGCAATGAGCGCCAAAAACCATTTTCTTGAAGAAAGGCTGTAGTTGTACAAGCTAAAATCTTGTTATTCAGAAATTTAACTTATTTGGAAGTGGAGATGACCGATGAAAGTGGAATCAAAGTGTTAACCCAAAGCAAAAAATTTATTCGAAAATGAGGTTTAGGCCTTCATTTGCTTATTTCCCATACATTTTCTATAAAAAAGCCTGACAAAGCTACATTCTAAAACAAATGCAACAAAACATCTTGGTACAATTGAAAATATCGCTTCAAACAAGCATTTTATCATAGTACATCAGTTTCTAACTTAAAAAAAGTTTTGAGTTATAACCCAAAACGAAAATTGGGATCAAAACTCATACAAAGGTCTAGTTTTTGGCGCTTTTTGCCATTATTGCATTATTATTATAGTTTTTATCTGACCTGAACACTTGCTGTGTGCGTCGCTAACCATTCTCAGTCTGAAGCTCTCGCTTTAAACCCTTCATGTACAAATTTCTAGCTTAAAACATTTGCTGCATTCTACGGTTGAATTGATTTATAATTTACTATAAAACGTTCTGTTAAGTTTTACTTTGTGCAAAGCTTTTAGTCTTCAGTTTCAGTCTCTAAAAATTAATAAACTTTATGCAGTCTACGCGTTAATTTATTTATGATCAACTATAAAACGTACTACTGTATTTTTCGTAGTGCATTTTCGCAAAAAATCCAAGCTTTTAGTTTTAAGTTTTCTAAAATAAAACTTATGCATTCTACGGTTTAACTTATTTATAATTTACTAAAACTTCGCACTGTTTTTCTTTGTGGATTCATTGCGCAAAAGAACCCAAGCTGTTTTAGTCTGATACATGACGAGGTATTATTAGACACAGGAAAGCGCCAATTGACGTAAAAACCATTCCCCCCATTGTATTATGTTTTCTAGTAGGAGTTCTTGAGTCTAGTCTAAACAAACTGAATATCATCACGTACGGAATTGTGTTTCTAAACCATACCTGACTCTCACACGGAAACCACAGCACCACGGGAGATCGCTATTTCAGAAACCTCGTCTCGTGAATGGAAAGTTTTTCTGATCAATAGGCCATTTACAGGAAATATTCTCGACTCTTGCTGCATAGCAAAAAAAAAAAAAAAAAAAAAAAAAAAAAATCATAAAACCGAAACTAAGGAAGAATTTTTCCGAGCGCGTAACTTACATTATTATATGGTAAGGTAATTTCACGCGCTATGATTGGTCAATTTGCGGTCCATAACTTACGGTACGGACCGAAAAATGAAATGGTT